AAGACTAACAAAATATGCATAATGAAAGCCATATCCTTGCACCAGAAGTCAGGAAAAGAGACAGACTGATAATGTATTAAGTCTGCCAGAAGCCAGTCTGAGTTGCTAAACTGACTTTGCTGACAAACTAATAGTTCAATGAGTTTATAAGAAAAGATTCAATGCAAAAAAAAAACCCAAACCAAAAAACACAACCAAAAAACACACAAGCCAAAGAGCAAAAATTAAAACAAAAAAAAAAAACACCAACAAAAAACGCCCACCCACACACAAAAAAAAACCACAATAAAAAAAACAAACCACCGAACAACCAAACCACACTGTCAAAAACCTTAAAACTGAAGCCAGATGAGTGGACAAATTGGTTTGGTTGTTTGGTTTTTATTATTATTTATTTTGAAAATAAGATATGCCTCTTTACAGAATAATTTCTTTCAAGACACAAAGCATATACAGTTGCTGCTCAGACATTGTACATATAGGTAAAGGTCACTGAAATTACTAGAAACTTGCCAGAGTTATTAGGTCAAATCACACAGCCTGACCACTGTGAGGGAACAGCTGCTAGAAGAAACAAGTACTGCTGTACCAAACAAACAAGAAAAAGCAGGAATTGCAGATAGAATAAAACAACTTGTGTGCTTTTCCTTTGGCTGGTGTGTGCTTCTCTCAGTCACCAAAAGCACTGAAGTGTGACTATACTATCTGTATAGTCTCCCAAATGACTCAGGTTTCTACACTCCCGGTTCAGATTTAGTTTAAACTGCACCCTGCAACAAGAGTTGCTGACTAACCACACCAGCAGTGATTGCCACCTCATCACAGCCTTTGGTGTATTTTCTGGTAGTTTCGATTTAAGTTACAGGATTGCATGCAGTCAGCCAACTGGAACAGGGCTACTTGTCAAGCAGGACTGAGCACAAGCTTGCCCTCAAAGGCATCCAGCTAAAAACCGGTACTACCAAATACCATTGTTAAACTTCAGAAGCCTAGCTTATTCACCAGAAGAGAAATAAAAAGAAAGCTACAGCACATTTGTGGTGGATTCAGTAACTTTTTGTTTTTAAAAACAAAAACATCCCACCATACTACAGCAAATGATAAGCTCCCAGGAAAAACAGCATCTGTGTTTTGCTGCACCAAATAACAAAGCAGGATTGATGTAGTTCAAAAAATATTTTTAATGAAAATATTAATATTGTGTTACTTAAATATTTATTTGCTTGAGTTCACAAACCAGATAAAAGATTAGTATCTAGGAGACAGAAATAAGCCGACTGTGAGCATTATGAATGAGTAAAAGAACTCTTTGGGATATGGAGTTACGGTGTAACTGAATGGCATTCCTAGGCAGGAACAGGACATCTAACAGAACACTGTTTGCAGTCTAGTTCTTTGGCAGCCTGACTTCACTCACAGCATTCACAAACTGCTCAGACACCACCAGTCCCTGGAGGACACACACAAATTGTAGAAATAAGAGAAATTGCCCAACATTTTTGCAGGAGTTTTTTGCTTAAGGTTTTGGGACATTGGTCACTTACAGTATTCCCCCAGAAGGAAGCCGAAAAGCGTGATTTTGGGGTGTTTAGTTTGGCTTTTTTTGTTTGTTTTGTTGGGTTTTTTTTTAAGTGATGTTTGTAAAGACAGAATGTGTTTTATATTATAATTCAGCCTTGAGACTGATAACAGAGCAAGCATGTGATTTTAACTCTATCTGGGAGAAGCAGCTCAATGGCTACTCCCCTTGGCAGTTTTATGTTACCTGAAGGAGGTGCATCTCCCAAACACAACAGCATTCATCTACATGTTTTGACACAAATGATGACTATGCCCAAGACTGTTCTCCTGAGACCCATTCTGGTTGCTTGCATTTGGACCTCCATAAAAATTAAAGTGAAATTCCATCAGGCCAAATGCCATTAGAATCAAAATCATTAACTAAAATAAACAGCCTTAGGTAACAACTGAATAAAAGCAAGTTTCCTCAGAGCAGTAATTCACGTCATAATGAAGCGAGTGTGGTGAGGATCATAAGACTGGACCCCTTTGGGGTGACAAAATCTAATGCTGGTTCTCCTATCACCTGTGCCACTTAAGCCACTCAAAATCATTCCTGTTTTCCAGCTTACACTTTAACTAATAGCACACTTATACCTTCTATATCTTATGTCAACACCATCCTCCACCTTAATGTTTTTCCTCACCCCGTGTTTAATTTCCTGATGTTTTTAATGGACAGAAGCCATAGATCTCATCAGTTTCTGTTTATCAGACAGAAGAAGCCACATCTTGCTAATCTTTTTACCACAGAGACTAAAATGAAGAGACAGAGAGACAAGGTTTTCTTTCACGTCCTCCATTTAGTCCTACCCAGTTCACCCTACCTGAACAAGGTCAGCCAGTAGAGGCCACAGCATGCAAGGACAAATTACCCATGCCTTTGTCCTTCCCTCTCTGCCAGGAACACTTTCCCCAGCATGTACTGGTTTCACCTTTTCCTCTCCCCACAACTATTCATGCTGCTGAGTCACAAGGACTCCCCAACACCTCTACTTTCACCAAGCTTTGCACTGTTCAAAAATTCTTGTCATTTGCTATTAAGTGCACAGCTCTTCTACTTGATATCAACTCATTTTCATTATTGCTGTCCTCAAGGTCATTGAATACTTCATGTGTTATAATTACCTACTTCCAAATTGATTATAGCATTAGGACTTGTCATAAGAAAAACCCCACAAAACAGCAAAACAACTTTGACACACACATTCCTACTTTTCTTGGCACACCACAAGCAGAAGACATCTATCTGCTTCTTCCACCAGCCTTCGTAGCTTCTGCTACAGCCAGTTCCTTATACACTTCACATGTCTTCTGCCAATTCCAATTTTATTCAAAAAGAAGTGCCTGCTATGGTGATTTGTGAGATATTACAAAAGTCCAAACAGATACACGCGTTCATCTAGAAATAGGTTAACCCAGTACAATCTTCCTCTTGCAAACCCACACCACATTTTATACCCAATGACCTTCTGCACTGCTTCCACTTCCACCTGTCAATAAAGTTTTTATTATTCTCTCTTTAATGTTTATTTTAAACATTGCATATTATCACAGCCTTGCCTGCTTTCTAAGTCAAACCCCATACTTATGCACATTTACCACCCATCTCCTTATCTTCCTGCCAAACCACAGAAACCACCTTCCTTGTTCTCCAGTTAGGTGATGCCACTGCTCACTTACAGCAATAGTTAAACTTCTGCTAACAGAGTCCAGATTCCAAGTGTTGCACTGTTTTAGCACTTGGGGCTACAGAGTACCAGTCTCAAATTCAAGGTGTTCAGGTTTTACTCCCACCCCATATATGTATATCATTTTCAGTGTCACTCTTGTAAGAAACAACTCCTGCAGTTGAGGGATGATACTCAAAACATCTTTACTCAACTCTCTGCCCCTGTGCACAGCAGTCCGATATCTTACTGGCTGTTTCTCCTTTTCATGTGACCAAAGACACCTTCTGTTATCTGTTTTAATACCCTTTGCAAGACGTCACCTTGTCTGCTGAGATGGAATCCTCTGTCTTAGCCCTGGACTTTCTGATCCTCAAGATACACCTTCCTTTACAAACTGATTGTTTTGCCCACACCTCTCAGAGGTTCCCTGTTTGCTCACCATACCCTGACGCAATGATCAGGTGAATCATAAGCTCTGGGGTCATTTCCTAGGTGGAGCTTTTTTGTGTTATTTGAGATGTTAATATTTACCTCTGTGGCTTCAGTGAATTTCATGCCCTCCTCCATATCCAATCATCTCACTTCACCAAAAAGCTCCTTCAGTTTCCCTAGAGGCTCCACAGTTGCAGATCTACATGTTTAACTGTTTAACCTAACCTAGATTAAGTTGTGATCACTCAAACCAAGTTTGCTTCTATGTCCAGCTTCCCTGAAGCATCTTCTGTGCTTCCTAAAGCCACATCTACGGTTAACTTTATTGAATTTATGGCTTCAGTCACTGTCTGATAATGAAACTGCCAGATAACACAGCTCTCTGTACCCAGCCACTGCCAACAGCTTTCATTCTCTGCTGTGGGGAGAGAGCCTCCCACAGTGACAATACCCAGAAATACTTCCCTCTAACCATATTACGAGATTTCTACCCACATGTAAATCCTGGACTACGTGCGGTAGATCTCCTGCGCTATCACAGCAAAATCTCTTATCAGCCCTTCCCAAAGCAATTTCAGCCCAGCTGGTTCTCCTTTATCCACACTAATGCTGCTTTACAATTTTGCATCAGTAACACACAGTGGAATTTTCCCAGTCACCTTTATTCTTCTCTTTCTAGAGCACAGCATCCCCCCCAACATCTCTGTTCCCCACACAACCCCTACTCCTCAAGGGTCCTGCTAACCCTATGGGGGATAGTTCTGAGTCCTACACCAACAGCACCCTTTCCCATTACTTCAGCCACAAGCTCCCTGCTTTGCTTTATAACGCTTGGAAACAAACTCAAAACTACTTACTAAAACGCTTCTCACTGTTTACTTTATATAACTGCATTGCTTATCATTTCATGATTGTGTAATCCCTGTTTCATCTCCAACACCAGCTCTTTCCTGATGCTCTATGAGGGGAAAAAAAAGTACAATGCAGGCCCCGAGCAGCATGCACCATGTTAACTCATAATTATTCAGACTCCTGTCACATGCTGCTCTGCTCCAATAAAGCCTAAAAACAGTTCTACATCTTTGACCAAAGTGTCAGGTATATACAGAATGGTAACTTCAAACACAAGTTTACAATAGAAGTAAAAGGTTTGTCAGTAGAGCTCTGTTAAAACCACATTCCTCCCACCTAGCCAAAGCATAACAAAATACTGATTTAACACTGCAATCTGATAGGTCATGGTATGTCTTCATGTCTTTTTAACCATGGAAAGATACATAAACACTTCTCACTTCTCATTATAGTCAGATTAGTCATAATACAACAGCCACCTACCTCTACTCAAGTAATAGACATTATCAAACTCCATTTTCCCAACCTTTAAGTATTAGAAGGATGAGGAGTACAAATTTCACAATAGCTTCTCCAGCCTAAGGAAAGGCACACCAATTTCTGCTGTTGTGATGTTGAAGCTAGAAAACCAGTTCAGTCTAAGAAGCATAAATTTGTCACATATGATGATAATCAACACAAAGGTGTCAAGAACTACAGAAAATCTTTTATCACTTTTAATTCATAATCTGATCTTTTTCCAGAAGACTCTAGGTTGTTAAACTAGCAAATACCATGTCCTACAGGGGGTCATATTAGATGATTACAACAATCCATTCTGGCCTTATAACTATAGAGTTTCTAAGCAGTTAATCTCCTCAAAAAATCTCCTACTAAAATGGAGCATACACAGACTCCACTTACTTAATTTGATATGTCAAAATCTAATAAAATTTTGCACATGCAGCAAGCTATACCAGGTAGGAAAGGATGAAATAAAATTACTGTTTCACATCCATTTTTCCCTCCCCACCAATCCATACCCATATTGTGTGCCAAATTCAAGTCACATACTATGAGTTTAGGTTTCAGATCAGGAGTTCAAGGCTGGGGTGTGTTTGAATAAGAAAGTGACAAGAATTAATTTAGTTAAAAACCAAGACTTTATTAATCTAGAAAAAAGCATTACGATTTTAGTAGTGTTAGAACTCCCAAATCCAAAAATGAAGGCACTCTCAGCTTTCTAGTAATTTATGGTCTCTCAGACTCTCAAAGAGGAGCCACATGAAGTGGCCTCCTTCCACACAGGCCAAGTGACCTTCTGAAAAATGCCACCTGCTTGCTTTTAAAGAAGTCTGATGATGAAGAATAACTCATGAAAATGGGAAGGTGAACAAAATAGGAGACATAACTTTCTAAAATGTGTGTAGTAGTTTACTCAGCAGTCAAACCCTTTCCTCACCGAAAGCTGATAAACTACCATGGCATCACCTCAATTAGTGCCTGGTGCTCCCGGCCCTATAGGAAAAAAAAATAGTTAATAAATATTTCCAGCATAACAGTTTGTAGATCTCCAGTGTATAATTGCAGCCATAACACTCCACAGGGATTTCATTTACAAAGGACTGTGGTTGTTGCAACAGAAGACTATGTGACAACTAAATGTGAATCATCACAGGTACTGAAAGTCTGAAATCCCTGGACATTTCTTGAAAACACATTCTGAGGTTAATACAAGCCCTCAGGAAAGGAAAATGTCTCTAAAGCATTTCTCTCTAGAAATTTGAAAATCTGCATATTCTCACATATATATATATGTGTGTGTGTGTATATATATTCATTAGAAAGTGCTACATTTGCTAAGCAGGAATTATCAATTTACAACATAGCTTAAGTGAAATTTGACCCAGAGTTTCTTCATGCCTAGCCTTTCCATCACTACCTGACTATATGGAACTGTTTTGAAATAGCCTTAAAATGTATTTTAGAACAATTTAAAAAAACCCACAAAACTCTGAAAGAACTGAGTTTGCACAGTAGTTTTTTAACAATCTGGTCAAGGGTTTCCTGAATTTAAAAAAAAAGAAAAAGGCTTACAGTAACCTTCTTGTGATACTCAGAATGCCAATAGTCAGTATATAGCAGAACAAAGCACACATCTCTCCATGTTTTAAGTTTATAAAGCTACCTGGCCTCAATCAGGCATCCAGCCGCACAGAAATATAAGATAAATCTACAACAACTCCAAAAATTATGGCAAGCCAAGAGAGGTGGTCAGGGAAAATCCTGTGAAGGTTTAGAAGCACAGTGCACCTTCATCAGCACAAGAGGCTCCAGCTCAGTGCCTGACTCGGAGCGTTTGCTCTCTCTGCACAGCACCGCTACCCACGCCACTTCCCAGATCAAGTGCTGCCCTAGTACAGCCCAGCTGAGAGAACGTCTGGTGGCATCAAGTCACAAAAACATCACACGTAGGACAACACAGGACAGATTTGCCACACCATCACAGAAGAAGTTCAAGCAACAACCCTTGGCTGGTTGGCTTGGGAACAGACATGTCCCAGCACAGGCCTTGGACAACAGCCCTGTATCACCCTCCAAAACAGGTTCCAGGTGATGCAGTTCCTGCATCAATGTATTTTGCCTTATTCAAGCACGCCTGTATCACTGCCACAGGGCCTGCACCACGCTTGCTGCCATAATAGTTTAAAAAAAATTACTTCCAGACCTAAATTCCTTTCCTCCGGAGAGGGCAACAAAGACAACAGCAAGTCAGTTATAAGTTACAGACTTCATCTGGACAGAGGCTGACCCAAGAATTCATTTAGCATGTACTTATTTTTAAATGATGTTTCTTAAACTGAGTATTGCCACATTGGCCTGAGCTGAAAAAAATAAGCATTGAGTGTACCAATACTCAAAAATGTAATTTTGCAGTTATTTTATATCTAATAATTATGTCTCCATGGTGGAAATGCTGGCATCTGTTTAGTAGAGCATTTAGCTGTAAAGAATTAAGAGACTTAAGTCACAGGAGCTTTAAGTAATGAGGTTAAAACCAGTATTCCTTAAAGGGACACGGTCAAGGCTGGAAGCCAAACTTCTTTTAAAACTCGCCAACAGTTTTAGGCTAGTGATTATCTCAAACAAGACACCTCCTCTTATCCCTCATCAGACATGCCATTCCAGTCCAATTCACTTTCCACTAATATGGGATGTTCAACTGCAAGGAAAAGAACCAGGAGTCTGAAGTCAGCACAAAGTTGTTGAAAGATCATACCGTCTTTATGCTTCTAAATGCCCCAGCTCCCCAAACACAGGCATGCAAAAAGGGAACAAAACCAGGTTTTTTTCAATCCCTTTAACACAGTTTCTAACTTAGGCACCCTGCCTAGCAATGTTAAGACCTTTACAAATTTAAGCCTGGCCAGTAAAAATAAATCCTGCAAACAAAGCGAGTGAGGTTTATATATACCTGACAACACCTCAATTTCATTTTCTCTCGGCATAGGATTTCCATAAACTGAAGGTCTCTGAGCATACACTTTCACACTGCATGCAGGTACCTGACTCCCATACTGTTCCTTCCAAATCCCACCCCAATTCATCTGACAAAAGGATGAGCATATCGACACTCAAGAGCAGTGTGCTAAAGGGACAGATAAACCAAGACACAACCATTAGCGGGCAGGGTTTCCTTTTAAGTTTCCATTTTAAGGTTTCCATTTTTAAGATGCTCTCACCTTGCTGTTAGAGAGACAGAGTACATGCCAGTCTCACGTTCCAATTCCTTGCCACTTTTCACAACAGCAGAACATGTATCTATGCCATAACATGATGCTTATGAAGTTCAACCAACATCAGTCAAAAGAATTCCTCAGCTGAGGACTTCTCACCATCTAACTTGCTCCCACAGCCACAGCGGGTCTCTTGCAATCCACGATGCACAAGAAGGAAACGCTGTAGGTAGTCAGTGTTATTTCTTGGTTATAAGTGTAATTATTCAATTATTCAAAGTTAATAATGGGGAAAATAACTTAAAAGGACATTAAGGAATTTGAAAGCCTGGTGAAGAAGGTGGGGATCTCAGCTTTTATGCGATATGCCAAGTGAACTCCACTTGCATGTTTTCATTAAACTATCAACCAGATGTTTCTCGGTTTAATTTTTGTTGTGTTGTTTGGGGTTTTTTTTAATCTGGATTAAACTTGAAGCTTTCTTCATAGCTGAACTAGAAATATAGATGCTCATAGTGTATTTCATAATGTATTTAACTGAAATCTGTGAACTCATCACAGAAGACAGTATTAGTCATATAAGACTGTTAAGCAGAGAAATGCTAGAGAATTTATATGCCTACAAGTATTCCTTCAAGTTCTGTCAGAACTTGTAAGTAGCATTCCAACTCAAAAACTGTTAAACAGGAGAACAACTATTTTGGATCTCCACTACAAAACACTTCCACAAAACAAGTCAGCTGCAGGAGTTCTGATCAAATCAAATACAACATGCTATGTCCAGAGACAACCCCTAGTAACACACCAGGGACATTTCAGAGGGGTTAATTAGATAAAGCTGAGAATAATTATTAGAAGATTGACTGAAAAGACTAAATTTGAAACAAGGATGTGGTATTAGATGCAGGAATCATTTATAAAGAGTTTTTTAGGGGGACAAAAAGCCACTGCTCCTCAAGCAAGAAGGACATCTGAAGTCCATTCCACCCCAAAGAGCTATAAGCCACAGTAAAATACACAAGAAACAGGTTGGGTGGCCCTAGCTGTAGGAAGTTAGATGCATGGGTAAAGTGAGAATCTTAAAGATAACAAAAATGTCTTAATTATATTAGAGAAAAAACACTAACAAGGATATTGCCATCACATTAATCGACTGCCAACGATGAAGAAGCAGCAGACATCCAATAAAGATTTGCCCCCCGTTCAGGGAGAAGCAAGGACCTGTGAGACCAGGTACTTTCCAGCCCAACAGTAAGTGAAGATGGTGTTCAACACCCAAGACACAAATAATAAAAATCAGAAGGTCTAGATAACAGTCATACAGATGTCTGTAGCCCAGTGACATTTGCTTTAAATGCAGCCTGAGAAATTAGAAAACAGGCTGCAAGGAGAGCAGAGTATGGCACTTGAGGAGACATCTAGGGCACACTTGTAGGAGGACAGGTACCTACAGATCACTAGGAACACCAGAAAAACATCTGAAATGTCTAAAGAGTTAAAATTCTGAAACAATGATGCCTAGTATTCAACACCAGTGTGGAAAGACTGATCTAAACTGTACAGATTTACCACACAATTTTTAATTTTTTTGAGACCTATGACTTACTGTTCAGGGTAGTCTCATTAAAGTCTAATATGACATGATATGGTGGAAAGGTAGTGAAACAGTAATGGTTAGCCACTTGAGAGACCAGTGATGATTAGTGAGGTTTCCCTTACAAAATGCCTGCCCTGTTTCAACATTTTTGCTCCCAGACTGGGCATCTCCCATTTAGACAAAACCAAGCAAGACACAGAAGCC